TTTTTTTTTTTTTCATGACTTCCTAAATAATTTTTTGATAATTTTTTATCGAGTCATTTGTAGCCCGGTTGCACCGTATTTGGAATAGTTTCGAATATCGAGCAACATTCGGCAAGAAGAAGAGTCGGCGTGCAACTTTCTCGTTTACTCGGTGGAAACGCTTAAAGGAAATCGATTTCTCGAAAGCGATTCATCCGATTTACCTCTTGCGCAATGATCTCTCCCCGAAAGGGGAACTTCGATTATTGTTTCGAACGAACATTCGCACTAAACTACTCGATTCTACACCATCGGATCACGTAAGAGAGATAATCGAATAGTTTCCTCGCAAGTGACGATTTCCAACCTCCAAGAGAATTCAGGAAATTATGAAACTTTTAGGTAAACGTAGAGCATATATATTATGCGATTTCTTTTACTACAGAAATTCACTCTAACAGGATGAAACTGATCCCTGAAGATTCTCTTACTTTTCGAATTTATGTTATGAAACTACATAAGATGTTCGAGACAAAAGTTACTTCTTTTACACCTGTATTGAACAGCAACGATTATCGATTATACTGTGGATTTTTATAGAGAATTATAGAAAGTAAAAATACACGCAATGCACATACTGTGCGAAAATATATATAAAATATCCAAAGCGGGGTATCAATCATAATTACATGTAGATTTTTTTGTAATTAAGTTCCATCTATAATTTATGCGTAAAATTTAAAAATGCATAAAAATTCGCAGTCCAGTGATCATGAATACGCGATTCAACCATCAGGTAATAAGCCGTAAATTATAGACGTGATGACGTATTCCATCATAATGACCTACACTCTGAGCGTGACGATACATTCTGTCATCATGAGATGATTACATACCTAGTTATCATACGAGGAAATAATTACCTATTGTAAAAACTTTAGCTATTTCAACATAAATAGGGAAGAATTTCCCCAGTTGAAAGATCAATTTCTTTTTCTTGAATAAGAAGTTCAATTGTAAACACAGACTTCACGGATTCTCTGTTTTATAAAGTATCTTCTCAATTTTTCTAACTTAATAAATTGTATAATATCTAGTAACATTCTCACTGCCACACTGTTTTGAACTTCTTTCAAAACTTGCAAGCAGGAGTACGAAACAAATATGTCTCTACTGTAATATGTTGTCGTGGTCTGCTATGTATAATACTGCGATATTTATTACAAGCGAAAAAATGATCGCAGCGGCGCTTCGTAATTTCACATAGAATTAAAAACATAAAGTTCCGCTAATCTTCAGCCAATCTCCAGTCAGCTAAAAAAATTTATTTTACCTAACACTGTGATGGAACTGGAGACCAACATGGCGAGCAGCCACACGGCCGCGATCTTGAAGCCGACCATCCGTTTTGTAGATGTGTGCCGTGTTCTCAACGGGTTCCGAATGCCCAGATACCGGCCCAGCGAGATAAAGCACATGTGCATTATGCTCGCGGAACATGCTAGCACGTCGCACGTCACGTAGACGTTGCACCAGAGCACTCCGAATGGCCAATATCCTGCAACATTCAACAAGAATGGCCTATCAGTAATTTCGATAAATTCTTATCGTTGCGATTATAATGAGGATTCGTTGCAAATTAAGAAAAGAACTTCAATAGTGAAAAAAATGTTTTTCTATATTTTCAAGAACGGAAGTATTCCTGCATTGTGTAAAAACAATGAACTTCGAAAAAAAAAAAAAAACTGTCAAAATAAATGAAATGCTATGATGTTAAAATTAAATCGATTTTGTACGAGGTTGCAACAATTTAGAGTATCGACGATTTTTCATTGTTGATAGATGTAGTATACATTTTCATTGTTTATTATTATATATACTTTTTCACTGTGGATGACAGGGCAATCGGCTACGTGATAGAAAAATGACGCATATTATTCTCAATCACATTGAAACGTGTCTCTCTTACTCCAACGCGTGTTTAATTTAATTAATTTAATTCCGCTGTCGACCATTCGGCACAGTCTTCCCAAAACTCGCCAATCCCAGCGTATTAGGAGATTGAACATATTGGAAAGCGTTCAATTACATCTCACTGGAATTCGGCGAAATGACAGCCTTCGCTTTCTCCGACGACTATCTGTCCGCCTGTCTGGCCCATTCGTCCCTAAACTACTTATTTCGATGCAACCCCATCATTAGCCGAATGCTCCGAATAACGTTGTAACTTCGGGCGGACACGTTCAATTGAATTCGAAATTCCTTCAAAATACTTTCATCCTTCTCACGATTCACATCACCGATCGTATCTCGTGATTTTAATTCCTCCAAGCCCGAAAAGGCGTGTCGCCTTTTCGTTCGGGAATTTTCACCTATAATTCAATTTAATCGTTCCGTGAGCTGTGAACGGGGCTAGAAGTCGAGAGAGAGAGATAGTTGCCGGATATTAAAGGATCCAATTCCTTTCATGTTCAATTAGTCTAACACGAGCACACATAACGCACGTCTTTCTTTCTTTTTTTTTTTTTTTTCGGCTCGATGGATTTCCGAGATTTTCGCGCGACTTTCCGTCCGCGTTTGCAGAAAGTTGCGCGTTGCAATTATCGGTTCACCTTAAACTAAATATGTATCACCGTCATTTTAAAGATCCGCAGATGTTCGTCCGACCTTGCTGAAACGCGAGGAATACCCGAGACTTTTAGTCAAAAGCACGGAAAATGCTGCGGAACGTAAACCGGCCGTTAAGATTGAAGTTCTTTGATGTTGTCCATTTTCCCGTGCGAGTTAAAATTAAAACAGAGTTGCGCGTTTCACGTCAAAATCGAGTCGATCTCGGTGACAGACAATCAGCTTTATCGGATTTGTATTCGACGAAATAGAAATATCTGCCGTATTTTACATTCAATTTTAAATATAAAATCTTTCGTAAATTTGAATCAGTTTCGCATATTTTAGCTTGTACCCTGTTAGAGAACATAAAGAAAAATAAAACAAATGTTTCATTAATGATACTGAAAAGCAATTGTATCTTTTAATCTATATATATATATATACGTGCTTCTATGAACAACGTTTACAATTCGTCGTATGCATCTTCTCTTAAAATCACTTCACATATCATATTTAATTTCTAATATATTTTCAAAACAACCATGACAGAAGGATCTCTATGATTAACAATGATTAATAATTCAACTTTTCATCCGTGTTGCTCGTTTCGAATATCATTAAATTGTTTAATACCATTAATAATACATTATTTATATACACAAGTAAATTAATAAAAGTAGGAAATAAAATGGATTCACAAAGGAAAAATACAAATGATCGTTGTTATTCTCCAAGTTTTGTGGACTTGCGTTGTTCAGTATTCGTCTAATGCTAAATAAATCGATTGTATTGCATTATTTTCAAATTTCTATTTGTAAAAATTTGCTTCTCGCGCATTTTTCCCGCGACAGATACAATCCCTGTATTATTGGAATTCAACTAGTGGACAAATTCAAATTTGTTTTTCTGAAGGAACATGCGACGTTTTCCCTTGTAAGTCACAGGTATTCCCCCTTGAGAGTTCACGATCAAGGGGAGAACTCCTCTTTGATGTGGACTCTAAACAAATACTATCTAAACTTAAATATTGCCGCAAGTTCTTTATGCCTGTGAGGTTAAATTTTTTTTAATAATGGTCGCAGAAAATTAAAGTCAAAAGCTTTATTCCTGTAGGAAGTTCATTTTTCTTTCTTTTTTGCCGCAAAAGCTCTAGTCATAAAGGTTCGTGTTTTGCGGGTAGTTGATTAACCGTTTTGCAACCACTGCACTGGACGAGATATCTCGTGATATAATATCGTTCATACGTCACGACGAACGAGATATCTCGCGCGTTTCTTTATTAAGACGAGAATTCTAACTCGAAAATAATGAATTCACGAGACTCTATAACGGATATTAACTCTTCTGATGCCGATGGAAAAAAATGATCTTGAATTGAAAATGCCAGACTAAATTGATGCGAGGCTCGAGAAAAAAATTTAATTTTAAATGATAATTAAAACATCGAGAAAAGAGAGAGATAAAAGAAATAAAAAGTTATTTTATTCCAAACAGATGAACAAATAATGATTTGGTATTAAAGGGATTAGAAAGAATTTTGTTCATTTTTCTTATGTATAATAGAATTTAAAGCAGAAAATAATTTCTTACGTAAATTCTTATATTAGATCAGTGTAAGTAAAAGCTGAAAAATAATTCAAAGTTTCAATTTAAACGATCAATTTATATCAGTAAAGCTTAAAAGTGACGTAATTAAAATGAAATAAAATAAATTAAAACAACATAATAAAAATAAATGAATAAACTTGCACAATTGTTTTTAAAAAACAAAGTCAAAAAAGCTTAATTTCGATTTAAAAAAAAAAAGAGATTTTGGAAGACAAAGGAAAACGTTTAGAAAACTTCTTGGAAGATTTTCTAGGAAAGTTAGTTTCGATAAAAAAAAAAGGTGCAAGCTGGAAGAAAATGTTCAAGAAATTTTCTTAAAAAAGGTAATTTTCTTAAAAAAAAAAAGTTCACTTTCGATAAAATGATTCTGAAAAGATAGTGGGAAATTTTTAGAAAATCGCCTGCGAAACTTTTGGATAAACGTTCCACTAATTACTTGCCGGCGAAGAAAATGTCTTTTATCTTTTATTCAAGGTGCAGAAACTTTCAAGGTGGACACGCCTCTTTCAACTACTAAAACTACTGATTTTCAATATATACATGAACATATCATACACGGTTAGAATTGAAATTAGAAATAAAACAAGCAAGTCCATTCAATTATTATTATTTTTCTTTCACTTGAAGTCAAAGAAAAAATGAAATTTCTTTAAAAAAAATTCTAAAAGATAATGGAACGTTTTCTACGAGACATTTGTCTAGTCCTACTAATTACTCGCTGGTGAGGGAGATAACTTTCGAGTCCCTTATCTTTTATTCAAAGTGCAGAAACTTGGCGAGTTCTATGCCTAACGTTCCACTCCGTTATTACGATACTTCCTAATTCGAACTTGCAGGTGACGCGCGAAGGCAAAGCGGTACACTTGTTTGCATAATCTTGTATCTAATGAAATTCCTTGGCAGTAGAGCCGTCGACATCGCGACGCCCTCGAATTAATAACAGGGGCCGTGGACATTTTTCTGCAGGATTAATTGCAGCCTCCAGACGAATGGTTTAGACAGAAACCTTCGCTAAAAACCTTCGCCGATCGACAAAACAAAGAAGTATTCGAGTTGCGACAGAACGTAACGTTCATGTTGCTTGGCATTATGCGAATCATCTCTTGTACCCTCTGTGAAAAAAGCCTCGTCACACTTTGAACATTCAAAGTGGCGATGCATTGTACACGATTTCCTTATTTGTGTTTCATCTCTCGCTATTTACGAGATCGCGGGTCGCTTCTCGTTATTCAAGTTATCGAACGGATAGCCTCTCGAGTTCGATTAAATCGCCAGTTTATCGAAGGAATTGCGATGCAACTATGAGTGATAAATATTTTTCAGGTGATTGTAAGAGTCGAGATAGAAAGCTCGAAGCAGAGGGTTATTTATCATTCAAGTATTTAACAATGACAAAACGTTGTTTTTTTTTAAAAGCTTTTTATTGATCATTTTTTCCATAATATTTCGCTTAATCTTATCCCAGACATTTCATGAAAACATTCAGAGAATTAAGTAACAACTATTGTAAAAACTTCAATTTCAATCATTAAAAACAGTCGAACAAAATTATAGAAGATAAGATCACGATGTGAAATTGAATATATATACTTGAGAATAGAATTCGTGCTTAGACGCAATTTACTATAGAAACTTGATCTATTTATTGTTAATAAAATTTTCAAATTTAACTATACCTCTTCGTTATAAACACTAATTTTTTACCATCGTGTCAATTTAACCGCAAGGTTAAAGAGAAATTGAGTTGGAACAGATCAGGCATACAGTTCAATTGTTCGTTAAATTTGTCGCTGATGTAAAACGAAATCATCGAAGAAAGAGGTTTACGTTTCCTACGCATGAAACATCTTGCCGATGGAATATTTTTCATTTGTAAAAAAATTCCCCTTAAATCGAGTAGCCTCGAGACTCTAAATCGTTCGAAAGTTGGCCAAGCTGATTCTCGAAGGAAATAAGATATCCTATATATACTGGAGAAGAAAAATAACGACGGGGTAAAGATCCGTATCCTCGAGGTTATCTATCGGCGGAGTCATCGTATCGTTGCGGGGAAACAATTCCGTCGACGAGAACGGTATGCATATTCGAGTTGACGCGATACCCGCGTCAGAAATGCAATTTCGTCACTTCGCTCGCTACGACATCACATAGAAATTGTGCGCCCTTTGTTATTTCCTTTCTTGCTCCCCCCTTTCCCCCCGATCATGATCGTGTCCCTGAAACGATGACACGTTTATCACATTAGAAACAGAAAATTTTTTCATTGTTTTTTCCTTTTTTTTTTTTTAGTTTATTTCTCAGGACAATATCACTTTTTATTTTAGCAACGTCGCCATTTTACGACACGTTTGCTAATCGGGAAATCGAAACGCATACAGCGCAGCGCGAGTGCGTTGCAACGAACGATGTTACAAGGGACGAATGCTATAACGAGCAATTTTTATGCATGAAGTATCAGAATACTATAACGCAAAGGAATATCGGTCCTGATGTTTGCTCTGCTGATTTTTCCACTAAAACTTCGGTGTACAACACCGTGACTGACGATGCGAACCTTCTCTTCTCTCGTTTTGGTAATGTCATGTGGAAAATAACTACAACGGAGCCAACCAAAAATAACAGAAAGGACAAATGGAATTATCG